GCAAGCCCGCCCAGTCGTTGGTCAGCTTCTGAAGGTCGTTGGTCAGAGCCTCGTTGGTGCGATTGGACTCCTCCAGCTGCTGGCGTAGCGCACTGTTCTGGGCCAGGATCTGCTCGCAGCGCTGATGCTCCTCCTCCAGCTTGCGGCACAGATCGGCAGTGCCGCCACCACCGCCGGAGGCAAGGACATCGTCGTGAACATAGTCCCGGCTACAGCTGGGCGGCGGCGAATCCAAGGAGGAGCTGCAGGGCAAACTGCTCTGGCCCAGCGTCAGGGAAGTAGAACACTAAAACAAGATAAAAATGACGACTTCACGAGGGTCCCTTAAAGAAAGAGAATTTCCGGTACTCACCAGAACCTGACTGGTCGTCGGACCCGTGGTTAGCTTTGGTCCCGTCCCGGTCGTTGGCTTGATGGTCTCGTGCATGCGCTCCTCCAGGTCGCTGCATCGCTGGCGATACTGCTGGATCTTCGACTGCAGCCGGCTGACCAGATTCGCCTGGTTATGCTGCGCCTGCTTGTAGGTGTCCAGACGGCGACGATAGCTGTGCGACTCGTCCGCCAGCCGCTGGCGCAGCTCCTGGTTCTGGCGCAGCAGAGCCGAAGGATCGCCACCGCCTACCCCACCTCCTCCACCGCCACCTGGCGGACCCGGACTCATCATCCTGGGCGTGAGGACGCCTGAGCCGGCAACGGAGGCGGCACTGGCCGAGGGGTCACGCCCACGTTGTCCACGCGAGAAGGGCAGGCGCGAAGCGGTGGGTGCGGATGGTGGTACCGACGCCGCCGTCTGAAGGTCGACGGCCGATGGGCAGGGCGTTTGCTTGAAGTTATCGCGATACGCCTGCATCTGTGGGAGGAGTTGTGGGAAGGCAGAGAGTGAATTTGATTTGTTTCCTTCGATGAAATTGCTGTGTTTTGTGGCTTTGCATTGCGTGCAGCGGCAATAAGTTGAACTGTTTTGGCTTAGGGTTAAGACTTTGCCTTACCCATTAACCCTTTGTAGTTCAAGAGTGAGCTCAGGGTATATATATATCATAGAAAGTTAAGTTCTAGCTTAGTGAGTTTGGATTTTTGTCCTTAAACCCAGTTAAGGCCCTTGAAGCAAGGATGTTCAAAGCTTAAAAAGTTACATAAATATAATAAATTACATTAAAAATATTTTAAAGTACAAACAAATCTTGTACTTATAATCTTCATCAGACAAATATATATCTTAACCGCCCTATGATCCAGTAAACCCTTTAAGCCCAGCGATCTGAGGGTATTACGAAGCGGAAACTTTATGGGTAAAAGTTTGGCGCCTCGCCTACGCTCCAAAGCGACTCGATAAGTTAGTCCAAATTGATTTATTAACTTGTTCCGGGCCCTGGGAGCCAGTCGTCATGACAGCTGAACCCGAGTTGGCGATGTTCCTCGCAAATAAACAAGCTCGAAGGATCCCGCCCAGTGGCAGGACTTCTTTGCGTTCCTTCCATACTTTGGAATGATATTTTTTTTGGGGGTCCCACTTGAGGAAATAGTTTTTCCGGGTCCCAGCCCCTGCTCCGGAGAACACGCATTGCACAGTCTGTCACCAGGACAGCAAGTGTTTGTGTTTACCACCCCCGATTCCCCACGTACCCCCACTCCATCCTCCTGCAATCCTGCAGTCCTGCACCCCCAAAGTCTGCCCTCCCGAAAACTCATAATAATATCCTTGTCCTCGTATTTATTTTAATAAACAACATTTCCGGCGTTCCGCCGTTGTTGAAACTTCCTTTGACACGAATGCGTCTCCTAATTTTTAGCTCCTTATGCTGCTCTTCCCATACCACCCAATGCCGCCCCCATTTTGCCATTTGTGTTTATGCAAACCATAAAAAATATAATAATAATATTCTTGATAGTGCCAGCGACTAGATTTTGGCATGCAATCCGCGCGACAAGGAGCTTGTACTTTCTATTTTAGTTCCAGATTTACTACTTATCATCGTGGCTTCAGTCAAATGGAGGTCGTCGCAGTTCATTCGAGGGGGCAGAGGGATTGGGAATCAATCTTTAAGTTTGGCCAAGCTAAATATAGCTCGGGGGAGGAGTAATAGTTTTTGGAATGTATCTAACTAAGCTCATAAGCCTTAAAACTGTAAATTTTCTTAGAAAAACATAGGGACAATATACTAATACCATCTGGAATTCCTCTTAGAGATTTCGGATCTAGAGGAGGAGTAATAGTTTTTAAAATATTTTCTGATAATCAATCTAACTAACCTCATAAGCCTTAACACTTTAAATTTTAATTCTTAAAAAACATAGTTCATCTGTAGTTGTTCTTATAGATTTAGGTTTTAGAAAGTTTCGTTGTTATCTTAATTGTATAATCTTATTTCCTCAAAACCTAGTCTGTTGTTGAAGGGTATTTATATTATAAGTTTTCATAAAAGTTAAAAAAGAAAGATAAGCCAAGTAATAAACTTTAATATGTCTTAATGCCCAGAAGACACAAATACCCTGCAAAGACATAAAGCAGGCTTGGATTTGCAGTTGTTTCACCTTTTTCTCATCCTTTTAATGTTAAATATTCTTAATTGATGAATTAGTGGTACAACTTTGTGCATATTAAAGTTAGTTAAATAAAATAATTAGCTTCAAGTAATTTCACTTATTTTTTAACACTTACTTTTCACTAAAGCTGATATTTTTATATAGTATCTCCTTATCCCACTTTAAGTTTAAGTACTGTCAACACCTTTCTTTGTGTTCTTATTGTTTTACTTTTCACTTGAATTAAGACCACGCGCACCAGTCACTGTTGTTAACTGATTGAGCTCCAATTGAATACTCATCAAGTTATCACGGAATCCTGGGCCTCGAGGCCTGCGACTCCACTGCTACTCCACCACAAGACTAACGTGTCCTGCCTGGTGGCAATTGACACAAATTTGCGGAATGCGGAAGCACTAAACGCAACTAACGCTCCTCCAGGAGGGAAAGTTAATCAGTGCCTATAACTGGATGGGATCGAACCGGAACAACTGTCTGGGCCCGCGGAACTGAGCCAACTGAGCGCCAAAGCCAAACTTTTCAAGCAAGGAAAGGAAGCGTAAGGAGCGCTGGGCAAGTCGCAAGGAATCCCCTTTCGAACTAACCGCCATTAGGGCCTGTTCCCCGTCTGGGGACTGCAACTTTCCGCGCTGCAGAAATCCCAGGCGGCAGGGGGGGCCTGGGACGGAATAAACATTGAATTAACAAATTCCTGGTTACCAGCGGCAACCGCAATTGATTACGGAAAGAGGAGCTCACAATTATGTTTGGCGTGCGAGCGAGCAACAAATGCAAATCGTGTCTCGAAGCATATTCCGAATGCGGTCGGTCAAATCGGGGCGATATCGATGGGGTACACGGAGAAAAAGCAAGTGTAGCGTTATTTTATTTAATATTAAATAAAACCAAAGCATTGTTTACTTTCCGATGGGTAGAGTTTGAGGGTATTTGTATTTTTCTATCATTTTAATTTATATATTAAATACACTTCGATTTTAACCAGCTATAAAAATATACTCTATTCTACATTGATATTAAATTTAGTTTAGTCTGAAATTTAACACCTTCCGGGAAACTATACAGGTTGGTCTAGAAGAGCTGTAGATATATCATTTTGTTGTCGATTTCAGAGTCTATAGGGTGTCTCTCTAGAATTTTAAAAGATACTTAAATTTTTTTGTTTAAATAATGTGGAATACTTACACTTAATACTTTTTAATAAAATTTCAGGATACCTTAAAACGATGACCGACTTGGCCTTCTTAAACCCGGAACCTATATGATTCAAGGGTACTATAGCTTAGTGACAATAGAAAATGTAGCTCAGCATATTTCTATCTTCATTTACGTAAACACATATGCATCGACTTTTTTACAAATATTTTCTTGTATTTGAGACTATTTATTGGCCATGTCTAACGGGTTGCATATTTAATTTTTTTTTAAATTTAATTCCTTTTAATTTTTCGCAGAAAAAACCAACTTGTCAAGTTATTTCTTCAAGTGCAGCTGGCGTTGGGCGTTGGTGGTTGCTGACTTGGTGGCACTGAAGGCGGTGCAAGTCCCACTGCTGGTCACATGGTTCATGCCTAACTGCTTTTAATAAGTCAACGAGCCAAGCCATAAATCGAGCAGGTACGGGAGGCGACTCTGTCGATGCGATTAACCCTTTTCATGATTTATTTGCGGTGAATATAAATTAGGTTCTATGAATAAGTTCAACCCTTTGAAAATATCCCACAGCAAACTACCAAGAAAGCCTCCCTGATGCAATAATATTAAATCCAACAAATACCACAAATTCCCCGATTTCGAAAACCCGAATAATGCAGATCAACTTGGCATTATCTGCAGCCACGTAATGCCCAGAGAGGAAAGCATTTCAATAGCCTTCGCCGAAGGCAAATGTCAAGATGTTTCCTGGCACAGGTTGCTCTGCGAATTCTACTGCGATGGAGAACGGGAACTACGGGGTTATCGCCGCCGTCGTCCATATCAGAGAACTGCATGTGTGTGCAGTAATAATATATAATACACGGGCGAGCAGGCACAAATAGGTGAGACACAAGCTATTTCTATGGCTCAACAACGACAAAAAATGGCCACGAAAAAAGCCTGAGCCACCGCCTGGAACGATGATATTTAAATATATAACGCCGCCCTTATCAGGCCCCGCTTTAACCTGGCCAGCGACCTTGGGGCGGTAATATCAGAGTGCCAGGTACACAGGGTGACTTTTATAAAACTCGTGCAAACAGATCACATTATATTCATAGGTATGCGGAGCTTCCAGCTCCGCCGCGACAACTATGTGTCCAGACTCAGACTCTCAAAGTCCGAAGATTGGATTGCCATTAAGGTGTTTGTTTGCTTCACTTTCAGTTTTTAATCTGGGCCCGATGCCATAAGGTCTATACTATGTGTAGGTGTGAGATTATATTTCCAGCATAAGTTTGCCTGCCTGACTGTCGCACTCCGGCGAGCGGTGGGTTCATAGTCAGACCCGCTTATCAGTCGGGGGCAGAAATGGGATTGAGTATACCTTGGGATCAAAGTCCCACTCTCCCACTAATCGGGCTCTGGGACCTGCACTGCAGTCGCACTCGGAATCGATGGCGCAACTCTCCTCCGCAGATCTCAGCCAGGGATACCGAGAGCGCGAGATTTCCCCAATTCTATCGCCGCCTTCCCTTGACAACGGGCGCCCATTCAGAGCGCTAATGAAACCTTCAATCCGCAATCTCTGGGCTCGGAGCTGTGATGATTTATACAACGATCGCCAAAGATCACAGACAGCGGACCCGGCAAATGCAGAGGAGGACGAGACTAAGGAGGAGGAGAGCGGATGATCAGCAGGAGGAGAGTTGGCGACAACATCACCAATACTTGCACACTGATCAGGCATATATAAGTGTTTATAAGTGCGGTAGCTAATTACTGCTACTACACTGGGAATCACAATAGGTAGAAAGCTTGACTTTACTGATCCCGATTTCTAAAAAATATATAAGGAATTTCTCAGTTGTTTATATAATAAATTCAGCTTGACAACTATAATTCTCGCCTTGCCAAAAATATTGATACTGACCTACCAGAAATTCTAGCAAATCATCATTGTTAAGGTCACTTTTGAGTCAATAGTTTGCTTGATTGTCTGAATGTCTCGCCCCGATAGTGATAAGTTCTTACAATTTAATCATGGTCACTATGTCTCAAATCTATTTCCAGCCGAAATAAAAACAGTTCAATAAACTAATCGGCGCGATAAAGAAGCACTAAAGGTAAACGTTTATAAAAACTCAATACATTTGAGACTAGCCGTATGGGGTTTTCTACACTGGCAACAATGTTGTCAACTGGATTATAACATATTCTTGATTGAACGAAGCATTAATATATTCTTTATTAATCAGTTTCCTAACAGCTAAGGATTATTACAAAAATATTTGTAGAATGGCTTAGACTTGGGACCGAGACATGTAACAACGCAATTAGCTAACATTAAGATGACAAAATACAACACACAAAGAAATTAGGTAAACAATTACTAATCATATATTTTAAAATAAATCTAAGATTATTTGTAATTAATAAATTATTTTTGGGGGATATTAAGCGGTATTTGATGATAAAATAGATACTTGACTGAAATTTATCTGATCATATAACTAAATCTTTCGTGTTTTCTCCTTGTGTACACATGCAATGGCATAGGTGCTGGCATGTATTGGCCGATCCCAGCCAATGGGCATGTGCCTGGGGCGGGTTATCAACGCGGCACGGCCCGGCTGCATCCCGTAGGTTTAAAGTATAGCTCCTATTTAAAACGCGCTTTAGTCACAGTTCGGATTTTGCCAGCAACAGCACGGCGACGATTATCGGTGATTATACGGCGGAGATTATACGGCGAAGATTACACGCAGGAATACGCGACTCCACGAGAGAGTGTGTTGTGTGCGAGAGAGAGTGAAGAGTGAAGAGAAAATGTCGCAGACTTTGGACGATCTGCTGCTGCGCCAGGAGCATGCCCGGCAACTCCGCCAGGCCTCGCGCTCCAAGTTCCGGCGCATCAATTCCCTGGACCTAATACCAGAGCATCCCAGTCAATCGGAGGAGGAGGAGGACAAGGACGCGCAGACCCCGCATCGGCACTTTGTGACCCTGCGACGCCAGCGAACGGCGGACGGCAGTCTCCTGCGAAGCCAGTTCCAGACGCAGGCTCCGCCGCAGCCTAGCCTCGGGACTCGGGTGCTGCTCTTTGGCCCCCAGCTGCTGATGCGTCTGGTGCTGACCATCCTGAGATACGTTCTTTACATACCGCTATCCATAGCGGCTCCCAGCTTCTGGCTGTCCGCCCTGCTCTGGATCTTCTGGAAACTGCTGCGAGTGCCCATCGCCCTGGTCAAGTGGCTGCTGAGCGGTGAGGAGGAGCTGGGCACGGTGCAGCGTCAGAAGACCATTCTCCTGAGCTGCGGCAGCACCATCCAGACGCTTCATTTGGCTAGAAACTTTTACGGTTCCGGTGCCCGCGTGGTGGTGTTCGAATTCGAAGGACTATTCGGCCTGGCCCGCTTCTCCACGGCGGTGGACAAGTTTTACGTGGTGCCCCGGCCCACGGCCAACAATCCCGACCAGTACATAGCCGCCTTGTGCCACATCGTTAAGAAGGAGCGGCCGGCGGTCTACATACCCGTCTGCGCCACCAGTCCGGCCTACTACGACGCCCTGGCCAGACCGCACCTGGAGGTGCTAGGCTGCGCCAGCTTTATTCCGGGAATACAGGAGACTCAGCAGCTGGACGATTGTCTGCAGCTCTTCCAGAGATGCGAGCAGCAACAGATGGCCCTGCCAGCTCATGTTGTCCTAACGGCGCCCCGACAGCTGCAGCAGATCTACGAGAGCGGCTTCGTGGGCAGCTACAGGAACATCCTGATGGCCGCCGGAATGCAAGGAGTGCTCGAACGGCACAAGTATATATTGCCCAACCGGAGGGCAGAACTGAAGCTGAACCAACACGAGATAAGCGAACGACAGCCGTGGCTTGTGGTAAGGGATCAGCCGGGCTACCACCACTACGTGACCTGCACCACCGTCAAGGACTCGCGGGTTGTGGCCAACGTGAGCTGCCGTGTGGAGCATCACACCAAGAACCTTATACCCGTGCCCCGCGATGACGAGGCCCAAATCGAGCTCTGGCTGCGCTCCTTCTTCGCCAAGGTGCGCTTCCAGAGGCCCATCAATGGACACATCAGCTTCCGCCTGGTCAAGAGTCCCGCCCATGGTGGACAGTTTGTGCCGCTGGGCACGCGGCTGGGCGTGGCCCTGCCCTACATATGCCACAATCGATCACATGCCCAACTCCTGTGCCGCGCCATGAAGTGCATCCACCGACGGGGGCTGCCCGAGGATGAGCTGCCCAATTGGAGCTGGTCGGCGCTGGAGCGGAGTACTTCAACGACGGCCCTGGACAAGCGGGAGGCGCTGTTCGCCTACTGGGACCCGCTGCCGTACTGCGCCTACTATCACTTCCAGCTGCCGCTCGAGAACGTGAAGCTGTTTTTGCAGCGCCGGAATCGCGCCACAGCCAAAAGTTTATCGCCCCGCATCACGGTGCCGGTTCATTGAACGGACAAGGAGGGAGAGAGGGGAGCCACTGCATCCGAGGATGGGGAGCAACAGGCACGGGAGCACGGAGCAGGGAGCAGGGTGGGGCCAGCGAGAGAGATTACACAGACTGATCAATAATGGAAAATATATATAACAATATATATAGAGCTTATAGTATATATTTTTGCATTTTATACTATTTCTTTTTTTTTGTTTACGCCAATGGGGTTCAACATCCATCTAAGAAGATTAGGCTCGTTAAAAAAAAAAAAACATGTACCATACATACAACCACACCAACACACACTATATTCGTCTATACTTATACTGTACAATAAATAATATTTATAATTTAATTGACCATTTGACTTGGTTTCTTTGGGTTTGGGTTTTATTTCAATTGGCAATGATTTGTCCTTGGTTTTGGTTGATCCCATATACGATGATTTGTTTCTAAGGATATACAAACATGTATGCAGTAATTATATAACACTTTCATTAATATTACATTGATAATATTCAACCTGAAAAAGTACTTAGAACTTGGTATAATTATTATATATGAATCTCTGGATATATATCTTAGGATAAGATAATTAGAATATTTTTTTTCTTCACTTCCTTTAAAAAAGTATAACTTGATAAGTGAGAAAAATCTGTAGATATTTAAAAAACTTGTTTTTTTTTTCGTTTAACCAGTTTTTTTAAACTAATATACAAGTACTTAATTATTTATTTTTATTTTTATTACATTTATTATACACCAGCAAAAGATTTTTGCAATTAGATTTAATACACTTTGTATTATTTTCTTGTTCCTTGGTTCCTTTGTTTTTGGACAATTTTAATTAAGGATACATAAAGTGTACCCCCCTTTAAAGTTCGTTATAAACTTGATTCTATTCTTGGCGTGGCACTGTTTATAATTGTTAAATACAATTATTGAGACTGAAATCTAATTGTATTCATTTTATATAAAATATTTTAATATATCTTGAACTTTGCACAGAAAACATATACACTTCCTGACCTATCTTCCAGTTAGTGGACACTTTAAATGTTTATACGCTTGAATATATTTATATTTAAATTACCCATTTCAGCTTGATTTATATTTTGCAGCCACATTTGATTACTAATACTAAATATTTTCACTTTTCTCGGGTGCTCTTTGTTTATGGCCACGAACTGAACTGACCCGACCAGCGGCAAGGGTTTCTCCTTGGTGTGTTTTGGTGGTGCCTGCAACCGTTGACGCGGTGGTGGTTTTGACCACGTTTTTCTTATCCTGGAACCAGGCTCGGTGTTGTTGTGGACGGACGACGCTAGCGTTGCCAGGCAACGGCTTTGGGTCAGCTTAATTGCGGTTGGCTGGCTGGTTAACTGAGCCATTTCCATCTTATCCTTATCAATGGGCCAGGACATAGGTAGGTGCACACAAGGGTGGCCCACAACCGCAAGCCAAGGAAAAAATTTAAAAATTATTTGCATAATTTATGGGGTAGAAATGCTTCTTCAAGCGTGTCAATTTAGAGACTAGGTTGCTTAAAATAAATTCATTTCGATTGGCCTTTAAGTCACACAAAATAAATATACATTTAAAAGCTAATTTACTTATTGTATATTACTGTTTTGGGAATCGGTTAGCATTCACTTGAATAACATATTTAGATGCATATATGTATAAAGGATATTAAATAAAAACAATATTTATTCTTTTAAGGTCTCGTAAATTTAGAGTAAAAACTATGCAAAGGCATTAGTGAAAAATATTTGTTATATAGGAAGAAATCCTGATTCAAATTGTTTTAGAATTATAAAAAAAGTGAAGAAACGAGAAAAATAAGATTTCCCTTCATCTGCCAGGTGTGGGGTTCGAACCCACGCTCTCTCACGAGAACCAGAGCTTAAATCTGGCGCCTTAGACCGCTCGGCCAACCTGGCTATGTGAAAGAAGTGAAAAAGATGCCAATCTTATGTTAATTTCTGAATGTAGATATTTATATTAGCCTTTTTATTTATATTTTGAATATAATTAAAAATAGTTTTTAGTTTAAGTAAAATTAAAAATACTAAATATTACTATAAACCTCCTTAATTTGATGTCAAATGTATTTTTAAACCTACAGTTACAGCTTATAACTAATAATCATAAGGTTCATATTTTGAGTGTATACTGTACCAATAATATATTAACTAAATATTAACATTTCAAAACAAACAATAATAATTATTTTATTTATGCACTTGAGTAAAATTTTAATGTTTATATCTTATATGTTTTCTATTTTTAACACTTTTTATATGCAGCTTTATTGTAGTTTTTTAAGGAAAATATAGATAAAAATTAAAAGGCTTTCAAAGAGCGCGCCCTATGTAAGATGTCAACACAGGCGCTGCCATACCGCTCAACTCCAACAACCTCTTTGTAGTATTTTAATGGAGTCTACCTAATCAGTACTTGCTAGAGTTAGATCTAGATTAGTAGATCTTCTACATGTATTTTGAGGCAGTGCACCCAGCTCGAGGCTACTCAACCGTATCAGGTGACGTTGGGCTCTGAAAATAACGTAATAGAGCGATTTTCTCCAATACTCTGGCAGCGCTAATACCACGACCAGTTGTTGTGGACGAGGAAATCCGCTCTGGCGTTTTAAATAGAATACTTGGCAGTCGCACTGCGGTCACACTACTTGTTCTCAAAAGTGTAAATTCTGGAAAATAACACGGATACTATCGGCGATGAACAAAGATCCCTACCGAGGCGGAGGCGGAGTCGGAGGAGGGGGCGGAGGCGGTGGCCACCAGGACGGGAGCGGAGCGGCAGGCGTGTCCATCAGCATCGAGAGCGACGACAATGAGTCAACTACTGCGGAACACGACTACCTGCTACCCGCCTCCTCCTCGTCGATGACCTCTGCAGGGGGCGGTGGCGGAGTTGGTGGGGGAATGGCCAACACCAGCATCAGCCTGGATCACGGCCCGGTGCCCACGGCGCGCAGCAGCAGCCTGAGTGGTGCTGCCTCCCGCCACGGTAACATCCTGTCCTCCTTCCTGGCCCGCCAGCGATCGTACACACCGGCCAGCAACAGCAGCTCGCCAGTACGGGCGACAACACAGATGAACCGTCGGCTGCAACAGTCCCGCAGCATGAGCGCCAATGCTGGCAGCTTGGAGGAGCCGCCCATCGGAGGAGGAGCTGACCCTGGAGCTGTCCCAGGAGCTTCACCCGGTACAGCAGCTAGTGTGCGACAGCTGGGCTTTTGGCGTGTCAACCTCAACGACGTCTTCTCGCTTTCCACGGCACCGTCCACGGAGGCTCTGCGCTCCTTTATCACACATTCCAACTTCAGGTATCCGGCCGCAGCGGCTGCTGCAGCTGCAGTGGCAGCTACATCGCCTGCCGTTCCATTTCGAGCCGCTGTTCCCGAGGACAACGCACACATACTGCTCGGCCAGCAGCAACAGCCTGTGTCGGAGCCCGTCAGTTCACCGCTTCGCTTTGGCCGCGTGGGAACGGGAGCTGCAGCGGGACCCAGCGCAGCTATGGGCAGGAGCATCTCCCTGCGCGAGGGAGAGATGCGGCACAATCACCACGGCCTTAATGGGAGCCGGCACAATGCCAGCGTCATTGGACTACACAGCAATCCGGTGGCATTTGAGGAAAACGAGGCAAATAATAGCCTGGAACTTGGCAACGGCGATGGCAGTGGTAGTGAGAACGGAGGAGGCGGCGGGAACATCGGAGCGGGAGCCAATGGCCCGCCTGAGCCCCATGAGCATCAGGCTGAGGACGAGCATCTCATTTCCGACGACATGGTAGTGCAGATCCTAAGCCACTTTGTGCGCTATCTGCCGCTGATCTTTATACTGCTCATCAAGTTCATACACGACCATCTTCTGGGCATTGTGGATCTCCTGGTCCTTCAAACGGTGATGTACAATGTGAACCGATCGGTGCGGAACCAGGTGGCCCGACTTGCTCAAAAGAACTACGCTGTCATGGTGAGGGACGCCTGCCTGATTGCAGTGGTGGTCACGGTTCGTCTGTTCCTGGCCGGTGCTCCGCCGAATCCATTCGGTCTAATTGTGCCGCCACCCAGGGATTACTTTAGAGGGGATGCCACCACAAGGCCTTTCCACACGGGGCTCTCCAATGTAGGAGACGAGCTGCCGGACGGTCCCACATCGTCATCGTCTTCATCGGCAGATAATAACAATAAGAATCTGGTGATTCCCCTAGGCATGATGCTCTACTACATTGCTGTGAGCGATCTCATCCTCAAGCTGCTTACTATGCTGATAAAACTGGGAATCACCATGTTGCCGCATCCCCTAATGCGCCTCAAAGTGCGGGTGAGTCATGGGATTGTTACTTAATCTTTAGTTTAATGTTGCTGCAATTCCTTTTATCGCAGAGCAAACATATATTATACGTTTGTGGTGGTATTCACTGTTTTGATTAGCCACAATGACGCATTAATATATGTTCCGATTGACTGCAATTCAGGATTTTTTATTTCTGCGAACTTTCCATAGAACTCGATATTTCGGCAGTTGCATTTTCAGTATAGTGATTAAGCAGAACTAATTGCTTATTTATTTATGATCCCTTCTTCCAGAGCTCTTTGTTTCGATTACTGTGATTCCCCTAATAATATATGTTTACAAATATTCCCATTCGCAGGCCCGACTTTATGTGCTGGTGGAGTACATTTCGCAGTTCTACCGGGCCACGGCACCCATTACCCAATGGTTCCTGTTTCTCTACGAGTCCTATTCGGGCCTGGAGGTGGTGTCCGGTGGCCTATTTTCCGCCCTGTATCTGGGCGCCAAGGTCTTCGAGCTGGTGGAGCGCGGCAAGTCGCTGCGCAAGGCGATTGTGACATTCAGGAAGAATATTGTAAGGATAAAAATAAAAAATTGTACGCATCATCAATTAACGAGCAATTGAATTCCATGCAGGACTCTGAGCGGCCGCCGACCAAAGACGAACTGGATGCCGCGGGCGCCCTGTGCCCCATCTGCCATGACGCCTTCAACACACCCATCGTGCTGGAGTGCGGCCACATCTTCTGTGATGAGTGCGTGCAGACCTGGTTCAAGCGCGAGCAGACCTGCCCCATGTGCCGAGCCAAGGTCAGCGACGATCCCGCCTGGCAGGACGGCAGCACCACCTTCTTCCATCAGTTGTACTAGCTCAGCACCCCGAAAGAATTGAAATTTCCACGGATGATTTCGCGTGTACATATAGTCGGAGCTAACATTTTTGTTTAATTAAGCTGACAGTTATTAATTATATTACTAAAAAGACAAAGAAATGTGGCTTTGGTTATTGCTTTATCTTCACTTGCGTCGCCGGGCGGCTTCCAGAGATCGGGCCTCGTAATACTCGCCATCGCCGCGAGTGGCCTTCTTGTTAATATCAGTGTGACGCTCCTTGGTCACGATCTCTTCCAGCACCTCACTGTCGCCCTTGATAAGGCGCGTGCGCCCGGTAACGGGGTCCACCTCGCGACGGATCTGGCTCTGGCGTCGCTGGTACTCCTCCGGCGTTTCGGGTGCGTGCGATTTGCTGTTCATCAGTGCTTGAATTGTTGTGGGGTAGAGTGTTCAGCAAGCACACGCAAACGACAAAGAATTAGTTAGTGGGGGTTCTTACGGACCTATTGGTATGGCAAAGTCCTCCAGCTCGCTGCTACTCTCCGCCTGCTCTAGTCGCGTCGGTGGAGCTGCGGGAGGAGGTGATTCCTGCTTCCGTCGGCTGTGCTTCTTCGATTTGGACTTGGAGGATTTGTGCTTCGCCTTAAACTCCTTGCGCTTTTCCTTATGCTTTTTCTTTGATTTTTTCTCACTCTTGCCCATTTTCAGCGGCGTCCAGAACGTAAACAAACCGAGAAACGAAAAAACTGGAGGGTGACAGAAAAAGTCGATAGGCTGATACCCTGTAAAATCATTCAACTGCAGCTTGGGGTGGTATGCCGCGGACAACGTTTAAAAATGTTATGGTAAAATCTTTGGAAAATTAATAATATTGATTTCTTTATTAGGGAACCTAGAAATAGTAAATTTAAATTAAAAATTTAAATAAATTAACCAAGCAAGCATCAACAAAATGTATATACTCTCCGTTGAAGGGTGTGCAACTGCGCCGAGGACAGTATTGATTAATGCCCAAACACTGAGTCGACCTACCAACACTGCACCGATTTGACAGCGCCGCGTGGAATGTGGAAGGCAAGTGGAACCCAATCAGCGCATGTTGTGTGTACAAAAAGAAACGTCAAAACTGCAGCAAAAATAAGCGAAATAAGCCGTAAAATAAGCCAAGCAACAACAACAATAACAACTGGATACCCTTAAATAGCACATTTGTTAACCAAAGAGCGGCCCCAAGCGAACCGCTCACCCCCAAAGAAGCGGCGGCCCAAAAATCGCCCAGCGCTGAGATTCCACCAAAAAACCCCGCACACACACACGCACGCACACATACGCGCGCAGCCAAAGGAGAGCTCTGAGGCCAAAAGCGAACGACGAATTCCGCCAGAAGAAGCAGCAGCGGCAGCAATTGGAACGCACCGTTCCTCCGTCCCATTGGAGCAGCAGCATCCACACAGCCAAAGGCAGCGACAGCCACGGCGAGAGCAGCAACCAGCAAGCAGCAGGCAGCATCAGCCCCAGTCAGCAGCACCAGGAGACGCAGAAGCCACTACAGGATGAGCATGGAGAAAGTAGCCAGCAAGCAGTACGAGTCGTAAGTGGAGAACACCTCCTGCCGCCACCCACTAATCACCCGCCCGTCCGCCCGCTGTCGTACCCAACAAACGGGGCCAACATCTCGCACACATCTGGGCGCGATTGTTAGGTTATGTTCTGGGCACCGTTTACGTGCGCTTTCTCGCTTTATTTAGGGCAACTGCTCCTGATCATGGCCCTCCTCCTCCTCCTCCTCGGCCTGATTGAACAGGATCATGGCGGCCATCTCTTCGTTCTTGTCACAGGCTAGGTATGCCTGCACGGCTAAGGCGCGGTGAAATCCCAACGCCTCCAGACGTCCCACAGCAGCGGCCTCGTCAGTCGTTAGGTTCACCTGAACGGTGTCGCCGGCGGTCTCATCCTCGCTGCCCTGGATCAGGGCTAAGAACTCCGCCTGATGGTTGCGAATGAACTCGAAGGCCTCAGGCTCCGTTTCGGCCAAATGGGCCAGGATCTGGTCCAAAAGGCGCGGATCATCTCGTATCATTTGGCGCACACGGGCTAATGCTGGCGAAGCCACCATATGCTGTGGATCCCCGGTAGGCTGGGCCGTCGCAATCTGTGTATCTGCGGCAGTCTGAGGGGGAATTCCGTTGATCAAATACTCTATTGCCCGCTCAGGATGATTGAAGCTGGCCCGCAAGGCGTCTCGCACCTCCTGCTCGCCGTAGCCCATGTCCATGAGATCGCGCACTCGCTGTTCGGTAGGAGCCACCGATGGGAGAGCCACCGTCGGCTGGCTCAGCGCTTGAATGGAACCGGCAGCTGGCGGAGGAGTAGAAGGAATGACAGGCACAGGCTCTGGATTTCGCTCACGCTCCAACTTCTGCTCCTTTGGCTCGGCCGGAGGGACAATCTTTTTGCCCATCAGCACGATGTTTTTGTCCTCAGCTATCTTATAGTTGCTCAGGGGCAACTCATCGTCCATGATCCGGCCGGCGTAGATCAGCTGCAGGCTTTCCGCGGGCATGGCCACCTCGGGCATGTCGCTCAAGCGCTGCTTCAGCGTGCGTACGTTCTCCGAGTCACTCATCTCCAGCTTGATCGTGCGCCGGTCCAGCGTAATAATAGACAGCTTCATGATGGTAGGGAATGTTGGGTTTGCTGCTTGATGTAATGTGCGGGCTGTCGGGCCTAGAGAATTGGGTGATTGAGGTAATGGATTTGGCAAGTGTGAAGTTGAGTTCTAACCCTTGACATACTAATCAAAAGCTGTTTTTTTGTCGTGACATGCGCGCCCGTTTTAGTAAAATCTGGCCAGACGTCGTGGACAGCGACGACAGCGATGTGGAGAACGAGATAGATGTGGACAAGTTGCCGCCGCTGGAAGTCGGGCCCGGTGAGAATCGTCTGCAGCACACATACTGCCTCTGGTTCTCGCGCAAGGGGACGCAGCGGGCGGCCGCCGACTACAGCAAGTCGCTGCACGTGGTCGGCCGGTGCGCCAGCGTGCAGCAATGGTGGTCGCTCTACTCGCACCTCATCCGGCCCACCGCCTTAAAGCCCTTCCGGGAGCTCAGCCTTTTCAAGCAGGGCATTAAGCCGATGTGGGAGGATCCGGCCAACAGCAAGGGCGGCCAATGGGTGATACGGCTGCGCAAGAACAAGATAGAACGGGCCTGGGAGAATGTGTGTATGGCGATGCTCGGCGAGCAGTTTCTCGTCGGCGACGAGATATGCGGGATCGTTCTGCAGACAAAGTACCCGGTGAGTTCGACTACTTTTCCTTACTTTTTACCGCACTTTTTATCTGTAATCTGTGGAAACCGTGATGGGAAGAACGAAAACCAAGTAATATTTTGTATCCTGTCACGTCTAAAGTCACCTCTACACTAAAATGCCGCTCTAAAAAGTGACAGAATAATATAGTCCGCAAGCTAAAAAATGCCGGGATTTCCAAAGATCCTTCTATATCACTGTGGTATATATATAGCCCGATTTCTGCAGATTGGCAAAACTTCACGTCTTCACTCTTCTGTTACGATCAAGGCAGTGTTGTGAAGGTCAAATTCGGCGAATTCCCCTTAAAAATCTAGGATGGTAACCGATGATTCGCCGGAAATTCGCGATTTCGACCCATATCGGTATAATTCGCGATCAGCCATAGATAGCTTTTTCAAAAATGCGCGCTGAGACTGCCAACTTGGTTTCGCGATGCAAAAACAAATGGAATCCACAAACAAACCAGTGCTAGCTGTTGTTATTGTTGTTGTAGGGCTGACGTAATGGAGCTAACGTGCTGGCATTTTTAGCCCCAACTCGACGTGATTTGTGCCAGTATTTTTTAAAATGAACATGAAAAACACAAAAAATAGTTATAAATATGTAAGGCTTAGGTGCCGCCATAAGAAAAATTAATAATTGAAACTTAACTAACCAATTAAAACATTACCATTTCAAATATTTTATACTGATTCAAATTAACCAGATTTTAATTTTCTTTATATTTCTCGCAATTCTTTAAAATTAAAAAGTTTTTTTTATTATCTGAGATTTTCAAAGTAAAAACACTAATTGCAATTCAAAAATTTTTAATAGTCAGTGTTCCCATGAATTTAAAGGTTTTTTGAATTTTAAGGGGAAAAGTTTAGAAGTTTAGGGACTTTTTGAAAGAATGTATTATTTTAAAATTAAGTACTAACATAAGATAAATCCACTTAAAAAATGTTTTTAATTTAATTTGTTTTAAAATGAAAATTTCAATGGTTCGAGTCTCAGACGAAAATTAGTAGTAAACAACAAATGATGCCACATACGCCTATTTCCCGTCAAATCTAGCTTTTTTTAATGCCATCCGCTAGATTTAGGGGCTTCTTGACGGTCCTAGGAGCTTTTAGACACCGTGTATTATTTAAATACTGTTAAAAAATGTAGTACTAATTAAAAAAATTGAAGTTAATTTTTTTTGTTCAAATTTAGGGGGACAATGGGATTTTTTAGGGGAAAATTTAAACTTTTTGAGATTTTTTAGGGAAATGCCAAATTTTTTATCTGGCAACACTGCGTTCTCTGCACTCTCTTTTCACCCATTCATTCATCATTCTCTTTTCACCCGCGCTTCGTGTCGGTTCGCATCGGACAATATATGAACGAAAATATTGCAGTCGCCGGGAAAAAATAACACGAAATGGTTTTTGGGTTTCCTGCCAAGTAAAGAAACTTCGATAAATCATTAATTCTGCAAATCAATGCGAAGAGTTTGCCTTTTAGCAATGTGCGGGTAGAAATCCATAGGCAACAACAACTCGTGTGACACCCAAGGCAGCCTGTGCTAGTGCGAGTGCGAGAGAGGTGGTCGGTCGTGCGTCTCACTCTAACCACCGGAGCCGCCGACGACGACGCGTACGCAACAAACGAAAATAAACGGCGAGCAAAAGGAGAGAAAGAACAAATAACGCCCACCGTAGCACCCCCCGCGAAGAAGAGGAAGCAGCAGTAGTATCAGCAGCACAAGCTGAAGCAAAAGCAGACGGCAGAATTGGAGCTTTGCGCAGAAATCGATTTTTTTGCCCATTTTAAGAGATTTTCGGGAGCCTCTCCCACTGCCGAAAATCGTTTATCGCGTGCGTGTAACTGTGCCTGTGCGTGCGACTCGTCAGTGTGTGTGTGCGAAAGTGAAACAAACCAAATCGAAAGAAAAAAGCTTCAAATTATATATTGTTTTTAAAAAAGCAGCAATCTCGCCGCGCCGTGAGTCACAAGAAATAACGAAGCAAAAAATTAATTCAGCAGCAGCTTTAGCTTTTTAGCTGCTGGCATTGAAGAGGTGCTCTGCCACTGCCTCTGCCGTCGTCGCCGTCGACGTCGCTGCTGCCGCCCGCAACCACGCGCTCTCTTTGCCTTCTCCGTCTCCCCCATCCCTTTCGCATACCAACGGCGAAATAACGACACACACACAATAAGGAATAATAATATCAAACAAAAATTGCAGCAAAAATAGTGCCCGTTTAGTAAAAGATACTAAAATTAAACCAGAAAAGAGAGAGGTGGAAAATCAATAAAGAGATTCCTCTTTATCTCTCTCACTTTGCAGTGGGAAAAACGTGCAAACAAGTTAAAAAGCAAGCTGCAAAAGCGAATAATAAACTCCGCGCGCGCTTACACGTGTGTGGTTTATATGTGTGTGTATTAGTGTGCGTTAACGTTTAACTGCTAATCGCAAAACGCAATCTGTGAAACCGCGCAACAAAAGCTTACGTAAACCTCCATAAAAAACATCAACGAAGAAACCCAGAGATAAAATAACAAAAAACACGAAACACAAAACTACAAAATCAAAAGTCCCCAAAGAAACTCTAAAAAACGGATTACTTTCAAGGAGGAAAACCCCCAAGACTCGCCCATATCCTACCAGAATCGAAAAACAGTGAAAGCCACCAAAACCCCCAAATTAAAAACCAGACACAACGATGACTAAGGACAGATTAGCCGCTCTCCATGCCGCCCAATCCGACGATGAGGAGGAGACGGAGGTGGCCGTCAATGTGGATGGCCATGACTCGTACATGGACGATTTCTTCGCCCAGGTGGAGGAGATTCGCGGTATGATCGACAAAGTGCAGGATAATGTCGAGGAGGTGAAGAAGAAGCACTCGGCCATCCTGTCCGCCCCGCAAACGGACGAGAAGACCAAGCAGGAGCTGGAGGATCTGATGGCCGACATCAAGAAGAACGCCAATCGGGTGCGGGGCAAGCTCAAGGGCATCGAGCAGAATATCGAGCAGGAGGAGCAGCAGAACAAGTCGTCGGCGGATCTGCGTATCCGCAAGACGCAGCACTCGACGCTGTCGCGAAAGTTTGTCGAGGTGATGACGGAATACAATCGCACCCAGACCGACTACCGAGAGCGCTGCAAGGGAAGGATACAGCGCCAGCTGGAGATCACCGGCCGGCCGACAAACGACGATGAACTGGAGAAGATGCTGGAGGAGGGCAACTCGTCGGTGTTCACGCAGGGCATCATCATGGAGACGCAGCAGGCGAAACAGACGCTGGCGGATATCGAGGCCCGGCACCAGGACATCATGAAGCTGGAGACATCGATTAAGGAGCTGCACGACATGTTCATGGACATGGCCATGTTGGTGGAGTCGCAGGGCGAAATGATCGATCGCATTGAGTACCATGTGGAGCACGCTATGGACTATGTGCAGACGGCAACTCAGGATACCAAGAAGGCGCTCAAGTACCAGAGCAAAGCCCGCCGAAAGAAGATCATGATACTGATCTGCCTCACTGTGCTGGGCATCTTAGCGGCCTCATATGTTAGCAGTTATTTCATGTAAATCTCGAATGCAATTACTTATATGCCAGACACACCCACATCCCCCCACAACATACACACACACACACACACACACCCCAATATCATTGAGTAAAGAACCCCTTTATAGGATGTTGCGCAACCCACCCAGAGAAAAAGATAAAAAATCGAAAAACTTAAACTGTAAGAGATCGCAACCAGTGAAGACAGACACACACATGATTAGCAGGGCTCGGATTACACCAATTATAGCTAATATATATAGAGAAATATGTATGGTTAGTTCGGTTATATACAAACAAAAGAGTCTCCAGAGTCTAAACCCTTATATACACACGCAAAAAAAGAAGTTAGCTATCAGAACATTAAGTAAATAAAACGAAATGCTAATTCAAAATGTAAAACAAACGAAAAGAGGTAAAAAAAATACACGACTCTAAAAAAAGTAATTGCAAACAAAGAAAAACATGAAATTTTATTGATTATTGTTATAATGCGAAGCAAAAAAAATAAAAAATTAAAAAAAAAAATTATAATAAAAAGAAAGGAACACTCTCACATACACTCACTGCTAATGCTTTGCAAGAAACAAAAAAAAAAAAAAAAAGAAAGGAGAATGGTTGCAAGAAGAAAATCGTTTTTCCGACTTGGAAAATGCATTTAGTTTTTGTTTGTTTAACTAGTTTAGTTTGTCCTGTTAAAAACTCTCACTTAAAGTAGCCCCATACTCACCCACACTCACCCACTGATGATGATAAAGAAAAAGAAGGGAAGGATGCAACAAAGCTCTAGTTAACTTTTGAATATTTATTATAAAAAGATTGTTTATTATGCTAGATAATAACTATATTGACTATTTACTATAATGCTATTTACTTAACATGTTCATATTTATTGAATGCATATATAAATATATATATAACTAAATTATACAAAACACACACAGCATATATATATACAATTATGAAACTAGATAAATAGCTAACTCTCAAACATTCTCTCAATAAAGAAGTTCATAATGCGAGGCAAATAAACAGAAACCGAAACGAATCTCTAACAGTTGAGGAAGTTGACGGAATGCTGACTTAACAGAGTAAACAATTCACTCACAGACTCAAATTAATCGGTAAACCGTTTAAACTCAAAGTTGATTATTCAGTTTTTGTTGTTTATTATAGGTTTTGTTGGTATTGCGCAAACAATAAAACAAGTTTTTTTTTTTGTTATGATTTCCTCTTATTTTTTTTAAACTGACTTCCCTACAAACTAGTTTTTCGCCTGCCATAAGTTCGAGTTGAGTTTTTAGATATGATTTCATTTCACGCTCACACAGTACATCCAGCACAACTACACTCTCACACACACACTTTTAAACCTTTTTTCTTTCCTTTATTAACCTAATTTATTTTCCTTTCTTTCACATATCCTCAAAAAATAAAACCAAAACTAACAATCGGAATCAAATTCAAATATTCTCCATACCTAATCCAAACACCAAAAATATTCTATGGCATGCTGCTCTTGAAATCAATTTAACAAACATTAACAATTTAATAATATGTGAATCAAATCGACCTTTACGCACTCACCATACACTTGGGTGCACTTTACACAGTATCCAAGCCAGCAAGTAGCATGCTCATCATGGCCTATAATCTGCATACAGAGTCCAAGAGAAATGCTAAATAATTCTATTATAATACCGAGCGTAATCTGTATGAGTTTTTTGAGAATTATATTATGTAAATTGTGATTTAAGATAAATACACGAAGAAATGCTTTCGCTTTTAAGTAGGAAATGCAATTTGTTAATGCACCACCAATAATGTCGATAATAGAGAAACTCACCAAGAAACGAACTGCGCGAATTGGAGAATTTCCGTTCTGATTTTTGATCACACCTCAATGCAGCACTGCACGTCTTTTTTCCGTTCATTTACCTTTTGATCTTTTTCAATGCAAAAAGAAACAACAAAAAAAAACTGCTACGACAACAGCAACAATCAGCACGTTTCCACTACAACAATAATAGCCACAGCAACAATAACAACACCCAGTTAACACCGCGTCTAGTGAAAAGAAAACGAAACGAAAGTCGCTTTAAAAACGAACGAATTTCGACGCCAACTTCGTATTATGTCAATCAATCAAGCTGCAATTTAATTTAAACCACAAAATGCAATCTAAAGCCCCAACCAGAAAAGAAAATACAAATCGAAAATAAATATAACGCGACTCCTCCGCCCTGCCACGCTCTCAGTCTCCGGGAAGTTCCAGTCCGCGCTCCAGTTTTCCAGCTTTTCACAGTTTTCACAGCAAGAACTAATACAGCTGCAATGCTCCATCCCGATGCGCTGAGGTGAGTAACGAAATAATTATTTAGTATTTTGAAATTATTTCTATAGGCGGCAATTCCCGCTAATACTCTCTCTACACCCAGGGTTTCCCCGCGTGACTTGAATAATTGTCGAAGGTCGAGTTTCGTGTCCTTCTCTACAACGCCCCTTTGATATTCCTCCGCCCACTTCTATTAATGAATTTCGTGCCCTTTGTGTTGTTGTGACATTTAGAGTTTCGAGAGTGTGAAGCGGCGACACAGAGAGGCAGCGTTAAACAAGATCTTGGCAAAACAAAGTAAAGCTAATTATACCCAATAGTGGAGGGGTATAAATGGGTATATTGGGTTTACGGAAAAGAAACATATATCGTAATTTGTATTTTTGTGTAGTAAACAACTTCCTTGGGGCTTAATCTGTGTTGGTACCATATTTTTCTATGCTTAGATTAAGAAAAATCTTGTGATTTTACTTAAAACGAAAAAATAACTTTTAATTAATTATTCCAAATGTACTCCCCAACTACCGTGCTCCTTATAGTATGGAAAGAAATAATCCATTCCATTTTTCCTCTTCCTTGTCGCTTTCACTTCTATATGTATATATATTGTTCGGCTCTTGTCATCTCTCCGACATTATAAAAAGCCTCAATTAATACACACATTCTCTCTCTTAACTAAATGGGATATGCACAATTGGCGAGATAATGAATATTTATGGTACAATAATTATTAAGAGTTCTATAAAAAGTTCTCTTTTCCCATTAATACATTATTTATACACTGCGATTGATGTTTGATTGGAGAATTCAATTTGTCATCAATTACCAATGTTGCAAAAATGTCGCAGCTTCGTCATGCAAATATATTCGAATAAAGTTATGGCACTTATTTTCTCACTTTGCCTTCTTTTCTTCATTTGTTATTTATAACAAAGGCATCTTACTTTTGATGATCTCATAGGAATCGAGTCACTTTTTGTTTTTTTTTTTTAACAAATTCTTAAAGCTTTAATTAGCGAAGGCTATTTCATTTTGATAAAAAGCATCAGTGTTTTTTTTTTTTTTTTTTTGCTAATTCATTTTATATCACGAATTAAAGTCGACCATTTTTCCATAGGCACCTTTTCCATGCCATTTGATTCATTAGTCTTTTGTCTTGTTCTTTTTTTAAACGATGACCCCTGCAGAAGAGCACGGTATCGTGTCAGTTGCGTGTTTAATTTGAAAGCATTATCTGTAAAAGTTTCTCCTATATTATACGCCGTTTATCATGTATCATTTCATTTCTTTTCGTTTCCCCATCGCTTCCTGTCAGCGGCGTATTCTGAATGAGAGTCGGCTGCGTATGACTGTCTATCGCCCCTCTAATGTGAGTCGAACATGCAGAGTTCGCGCCTCCCCCGATTCGTAATGTTGTGAATGTGCTGTGGGCTTTGAATTGAGTCATCGTTGTCACCCAGAGCGACCTTTGACGATACCTCCCTTTACACAGCTGGCGACCCATTCTCCAATTTATCATGTGCGAATGCACTGATAAAAAATATAATCCGGATAAGCTGTCTTTTCAGTTAATGATGCTGAAATAATCGCGACATAAATTGTAAGCGATACATTATCGTGATTAAGATGAGGCAAGAATAAGTGTTTACGTTCTCATACAAGGTTTATCCAAATTTATAGCTCTGGAAGTTAATTCTAGCACTGAAATCTACATATAAATATGTCAAAGGACCTTAAAAGTATACCATAAACTCTATACTTATTGAATATATGCTGCATATACTGTAGTTATATCCACCCACAACGACATTTCGACTTTCCTTGATGACGCGAGGGCGATAAAAATGTATTTACATTTCTCCTCAATTAGTTATTATAAAACGATTTATTGGCCAGACAAGTGAATGAGGTGAATCATCAGACTAGCCAATGAATCATCAGATTGTGTGTGTTGTTATCCCTTGATAAAAAGCCTATCAGTTGGCTTTGATAACAAAATAGTAGACAGCAGCGGGACTTTGTTTTTTCCAGCCCGCATAAATAGAGAGAATCGAAGTAGTACTGCCTGCACTCATGCGAATGCAATTAAAAACTCCCCTCTTGCATTCTCATATAACATTTTTTTTTGCATGTCTCTTTGCCTTTTTACCTTGTTGTGTGAGCTCTATCACATGGCTTTTGTTTGCCTTTTTGTTCTCAAGCCTTCATGTGTTGGAAATGCCCGCAGCATTGACTACCCTTCCTCAAAAGGGTATATTGGTCTCTGGAAGATGTTATATTTTCTGTAGAATAAATACACCGTATGATTTTTAGATTAGAATATAATATCTCCTATTAATACAAAACAAGCTTCAAGACTTTAAAACTGCTAAAAGAATATACTTTTAATAAAAGCTTGATTGTTTTTATTGATGGAAATAAATTTAAGGTATTGCTTTGTGTGACTTTAACATTTTTTGTATATCTTTTTTAAGCACAGTTTGATGACACTGCTGTAGTACCATGCCCCCTGCAGTAAATATCTACGAGTCATGAATTCAATTTATATATTTATCTATTTCATCACTTGCTTCTGAGCTTTTCTTGTTATTTACTGACTTGGCTGTCTATCTATCTATTATTTTGATTGCTTGCCAAATCCAAATAGTAATTTTTTTTCTTTCTTTGTAGCGAGGTTAGCGAGGTTTTTATGGATGTCTTATACTTATTACATACATTTGTGGGAGTTTTTGGTGTTTTTTCGCTGTTTTTTCTCATTTTATTTTTTTTTTATTTTTTGTGTTTCAACTTTGTCCGGTGAGTCACAAATTTTACCGGCTTATGACCATATATATAGTATTTGTTGTTAGCCGCCAGCCTGCCGTTTGATTTATTGATTCGCAGCTAAGTGCCAGCCTTACGAACGTATGAATATACCGTAAATACACATGGAAATATCTATGTAAACTTGAGTGAGACGAGGTACTTTATCTCATCTGGGTTGTGCAAAGTTTTTTAGAATCGCCATTGTCATGTTAACTGTTGAAACTTGCTTGTCTGCCAAGATTCTCTCAACAGAGCTTCTTTTCGTCTCTTGAAAACTTTTTGATTTGCCGGGGGGAAAGTTTCCTC